ATTTATCCTTAGTTCTAGGTTGGTTGAATCCTTGGTTAGCTTCTCCTTGAATAATTGCTTTCTCCAATGAGAATTTTTAACTTTGTTGTGTCCCATTGTTTTTAAAAATTATTTTTAATATTTTCATTTCTGTAAGCCGCCCGGAGTCCTTCGGGATTGGGCGGCCTAGAAATTCAATAAATGAAATGAAATGAAATCTTCCTAATAGCCACAAACATTAAAAATTCTCATTGGAGAAAGCAATTATTCAAGGAGAAGCTAACCAAGGATTCAACCAACCTAGAACTAAGGATAAATTTCTTGACAGTTAGAACAAGTAATCAGTGAAATGAGTACCCTCCAGAAGTTGTGGGTGCTCCAACACTGGAGATTTTAAAGACGAGATTGGACAACAATTTGTCTGAAATGCTGTAAGGTTTCCTGCTTGAGCAGGGGGTTGGACTAGAAGATCTCCAAGGTCTCTTTTAACTCTGTTATTCTGTTAATTATGTTGGGAAGAGTTAGTGGTAAAAGGAAACTAGGCCACCAAAGAATACAGTGACTAGACACCATCAAAGCGGACACCAGCCAGAGTACAGAAAAACTCAAAGAGGTAGTAGAGAGATTCTGGTCCATAGAATTGCTAAGAATCAGACACGATTCTTATCATCATTATCATCCACATTATCACCATCAGCATCATCAATTCATTATTACCCTTAACAGCAAATGTTAAGTAATAGGAGAATTAGCAGAAGGTAGAAATACCTACAATAGAATTCTAAACTATTCAAAGTCCCATAAGTGAAATATGGTTTTGATATTTTTTTTTAAAAAAAATGCAGGTTAGGTAGCTTGACGCTTTCCAAGTATTATGAACAACAATTTCCACAGTCACTTCTCATGATGACAGTAGAAATGTAAAAATGTGGGGAATGCCAAGTTGGTTATGTATTAGGCATAAACTTTGTATGCAAAAATATAGTTATAGTATATAGTTGTAGTATATCCAATTGCTGTCAGGAAGATCTCATCTACAATCCTTAAAAGCTGTTCCTGGGTAGTATATAAAGCAGAGTTTCTCCAACCTGGTGTTCCTCAAAGAGAGGATGCAGTTTAAGGTATCTGGAGGAATTTATTTGGAGGAAAGTGGTGGTAATTATTGCTGCTCCAACTTTCTTTCCTCTAGATATATTATCAGTGCAAACCCCAATGCATCTGGAAGGTAACTCTTGGGGAATGTTCCTGTAGATAATATTGAAAAAGAGAGGAGACTTGTTATGATAGGAATTCGTTCCTATCACTATTATTAACATTACGTGGGTCTAAGATCTGGTAGCAAATAGATTTGGGTAACTTTTAAATACAGTTCAGAAGCTACACATGGCAGCCCATTAGACTTCACAAAAACACCGTACCTGGGGTGAGCTGCTGGGAGTTCACAGGGATTCAGGAGAACCTATAGCTAAGATTCTGTGCAGTTTGTAGAACCCCAAATCCCACTCCTGACTTGCCCCGCCCACCCCACCTTGCCCCTCCCAGGAATCCACATGTGGCCTGTTTTGGATGCAGGTAAGTGCAAGGCACACACAGACGCTCAAGGAGGGCGAAAACCGGGCCTACTGGAAGTTCTGGCCTCCAGAGGACCTCTGGAGCCAGGGGAGGCCGTTTTTGCCCACCCAGAGGCTCAAGGAAAGCTTCCAGAGCCTGGGGAAAGCATAAACGTGCCCCCCCCCACATGGTGCAGGAAGCTAACTAGACCACACCCACCCAGCAACCGAGCAGAGAACCCATTGCTAAAATTTTTGAAGCCCACCCCTGACTGTATCTATTTATTAATTAATTGATTCACCAATGAACCATCTCTCTATTCTTCCATCCCATATATCCTCTGAATTGTTTGTTCTAGTGTAGAGAGAAAATTGATAACCAGAGCACTCAAATGCCCCCTTGGAAAAAAATCAGTATTTTCTTAAACCTCGCAATAATAAATGGCAATGATTTCCAGGCAAAAATATATGTATGCTTCCAGATGGAGGACATGTAATAACTGTTAAAGCCATTAATACATTAAATTTCATTTCTTCCAGCTTTTGTGAAAAGAGACAGAAAAGTAATAGGAAAAGAGAGAGGTGCTACCAATGGAGGAGAATGGCATCAGTTTTCTACATAAAATATTGCCCTGGATATGGTTTATCCAGAAGGACAAATTGGAGATGGGATCCTAACTTTCTTCCCATAAACAGAGAACAATGAGCTTTTCTGCCTGACCTGTTCCTCTTTATATCTCATTCTCCCACAAAAAAAAAACAACAACAAAAAAAAAACTATTTTTGAGTTCGAGACCCAGGAAATGTTATTGGATAAGAAGTGAGGAGCTACAGTATTTCTGTTTTGCATATATTTACCAACTTTGAAATGTGGATATTTAAAAATATATTTGACATGCTAACCTTGTAGAAATGTTTTGAATTTTTCTGGATATAGATGTTTTTCTACAATTGCATGGGTTGGAATGTTGTTTTTCAATTGTATTGTTTTCTTTATTCCAGATTTGAAAATTTTAAAATAATTTTAAATTTCAACTGATAGTGAAGTGTTTCACAGGCTCAGGAACTTTAAGATGGGTGGACTTCAACTCCCAGAATTCTCCCGCCCATCTGGAGAATTCTGGAAGTTGAAGTTTTAAAGTTGCCAAGAATGAGAAACACTGCAATGGAGTATCCTTCTGCAGATAACCCAGATAATCTATGTTCTTTCAGTATCGAACCAAAACCATTCCAATTGTCAAAGTGAGTAAAACATCATCTGAAAGTATTACTCGTCGAATTATAATCTATGGTGTGCAAGATGAAAATGGATCCATCATCCAGAATTTTGCTTTGGATATTACACCACCACCAGAAGTGATTTATAAATCAGAGCCAGGAACTAGTGAAGGCATGAATGTGTTGGGAATTGTAATATTCTCTGCTACCATGGGTAAGTTTTTTTTAAAAAAATAGCATGTCAAATGAAATTATTGCATGAAATAGACTAGTCACGTGCTATCTAATGCTTTCCAGACAAGTTGAGTATTATATGTTATTTCAGTTATTTATACTAATTGGATTTCATGAATTGAAGTCTAGGACATTTAGAAGGTTGTTTTTATTTTAATTGCTTTTTCTAGAATTCCTAATGTTTTAATTTGGAAAATATGTTTCACAATTCTGAATATATAATTTAAGGGCAATGGCTATATTTATGACTGTATTAAAATAATGTTAATACTACATGGCCCCATTTTTCCTTCCTTTTCCTAAACTGGAATTTTTGTTTTCTTTAACTGTGTTTTTGTTTGTTTTGCTTCCCTGTAATTCCTAGAGTTGTCTTGAGAAATTTAAATGAAAAGGAGCAAAGCATGTTTGTGGCTAGAGTATTATTTTCAACAGCATGTGGCTAGATCATGTATAGTTAAAGCAATGGAGGAAAGTGTGTGCTACTAAACAAGAATTGTGGCTACTTGCCTTCATTTGCTATATATCTTTATCTAAGAATACAGGCAGTCCTTATACTTACAACTGATTGCTTAGTGACTATTTGAAGTTATAACTGACTCAAAAGTCTTACAACCCAGGTTTGAAATTCCCATGGTTGACCTTTCTAGGGTCATGTGACTGAACTTAGGGCGCTCAGCAAGATGAATACATTTATGGTCAATTGCAAGTTGTGATATTTCTGATGACAGTTTGCCAAATACTGGCGTTTCCGATTTTCAACAAAGTCACACCTATAGTGAACCATTGGTTTACTTAACATCTGTGGCATTTGGTTTATGACTGCCACATTTGCTTAACAACAGCTGAAAAAAATATCATAAAATTGGGTTGGTGGCTTGACTGTTACAATGCACAATTGTAATGATGGCCTCTCTGCAAACAACAAGCTATTTGGTTCTTCAGTTCTTGGTCTTATTCATAGGAGATACCTATGAAGAAGTGAAATATATGTTCAAGTCACAAGGTGTGGCAGGTTAGATAATATTCCTAAGAGACATGGGAGAAAATGGGGATATTATCTTGGAGTTTTTTTACCCCATTCAATGGGTAGGACCGCAGAAGGGCAACAACAATGATAAAAAAAGAATGCAGTCTTACATTTTGATAGGAGATTGTGAAGGAGGAAGTAAGTGCCAGTTTGGTGTAGTGGTAAGGCATCATGCTACAACTGGGAGACTGGGAGTTCTAGTTCTGACTTAGGTACAAAGCCAATTGGGTGTCCTTGGGCCAGTCACTTCCTCTCACCCCTAGAAAGAAGGCAAGGGAAAACTACTTTTTAAAAGGCTGTTGTGAAAACTGCATGTTTCAGGAGTCAAACTGGCTTGGCATGTGCATTAAAAGAAAGATAGCATGTAGTCAGTAAATTAATCATGACTTCTATTTAATCCCATTCCACTAATTCTAAATATTAGAGTTTTTTTTTTTCATTTTAGAGTTCCTATTAAAGGAGAGGACAGATCTCCTTGCCTTTCTTATTGGGGGCAAAGGCAGCAGCTGTGGATTTTTATTAGGCACTTCCATAATTTAACCACTGTGAGTCTAACTTTTCTGTATTGCCAGTTTTTGAATATTAACATGAAGCTCTGAAACATTTTTCCCAGTCTGCTTTAAACAGAATGATATTGAATAAGTCTAGAGAATCAGTCCAGCAGTTTTTAAAGTGTCCTCTAGAGAGCAGTGGAAAGTTTAACTAGCTTAGCACAATTTATAACCAGGTTGGATTGTTTCTAGTTTGAAAAACAGGGATTTTATTCAAAGCCAAGACTTAGCTAGAATATCAAATGGGAGTAAACTACATCTTCTAAACAGGGACATCTCAAGGCGTCTAGCTGTACATTAGAACATTTGTAGCAACCATGTAGGAGTTCTATCTGCAGAGATGTCACTTCAGCCTTTTCAGCTGAAGATGTGTTCAGATTCCAGATAACTGCTCTATTTCTATGGTGTGAAGCGATTAGCACTTCTACCAAGATGCCCGAAGATTTGACAAAGATTTTCAAGGCCTTTTTAAAGTGAAGAAATAGGCTTAACAAAGCTTTTTTACAGGTTGTCCTCATTTAGCAACCACAATTGGGACCAGTGACTCAGTTGTTAAGCAAAGCAGTCCCTAAGTGAAACACATAAGTATGCTTATGGTTTTAATTCAATTTATTTTGTTTCTCAGACCTCCAAAGGTTGTAATTGCAAGGATTGTTCATAAACGTACTTTTTCATCACTGTCGTAACTGTGAATGGTCTCTAAGCAAGGCAGCCATAAATGACAACTGCCTGTATTTAATGAGCAAAGTGATACAGGTTTCTTTTACATCTGTAATTTTTGAGAAGCCTATCATTCTAGTACCACTCAATACTGTTGGAAGAACCTATCTTTTTTTATATGTGGAAGTTATGAGATGTCTTCCCCCTTCCCTTCCCCTCTATATTCCCATTCTGGAATGAAATTCTGAAGGTTCTGACAGGTTCTGGAGAACCGGTAGCAGAAATTTTAGGTAGTTCAGAGAACTGGCAAATACCAACTCTGACTGGTCTCAGAGGGAGGGAATGAGGATTTTGCAGTATCCTTCCCCTGCCACGCCCACCAAGCCACGCTCACAGAACCAGTAGTAAAAAAAATTGAATTTCACTACTGCCCCATTCCCCAAAAAACATTCTTGATAGGATGCCAGTTGAAATATTATATCAGTTAAATTTAACCTGTGAAGCTTTCAATGTATTATACACTATAGTCCAGAAAAATTTATGCAATAACCTGCTAGGCCCATCTTAGTCCCAATATTCTGTTCCTTATAGTGGCCAACAAGGTTACTCTGGAGCTTTGGCAAGACATAGCCCTCTTCCATCTTGTTCCCCTGAACTGAAGAAAACTGTCCCCAGTCCAGAGATAACTGTGTCTTTTCAAGGCCGATAACTAGTCTCCATGAAACCTGCCATAATATATCTTTTGCCAAATTTGTCTCAAGTACCCATGAATTAGAGTGATGCAGCAACTTCCTCTTATGAGGAGCCTAGCGCAGGGGTGAAATTCAGCCAGTTCTAACAGGTTCTGGAGAACCAGTAGCGGAAATTTTGAGTAGTTCGGAGAACCAGCAAATGCCACTTCTGACTGGCCCCAGAGTGGGTGGGAATGGAGATTTTGCAATATCCTTCCCCCAGAAATGGGAGAGAATGGGGATTTTGCAGTATCTTTTCCCTGCCATGCCCACCAAGCCACCCCTACAGAACTGGTAGTAAAAAAAATTGAGTTTCACCACTGGCCTAGCAAGCATCCTTGTGAAGGGGCTGGTCACTGGGAGAACAGGATTAGATGGACCAGTTCCAGTAGGAATCTGATAGGTCCTTATGCTTATAGTTATGAAACATAACAGTGGAGCTTGTGTTGTTCAAAATAAGTAATTCTTAGCATACGTTACTCAGAAATGTGACTCATTACCAGTCATACAACTTATCTGGTAATTCAAATGTCAGATATATTTCCAGATCACAGTGAAGATCTTTCCTCAAGGCTAAGCTGTAGTGCTTTCTTTTCACCCTTGAACAAGTAGCAAATAAACTAGCATGGAACTTAATATTCCTATTGCCAATACCTTATTTGCCCCATGTCTCTGTTCTCAGTCACTGTTGCTCACTTAATTTCTCTCCCTAATAATAAATCTTAATTGATTTTATACTTGAAGCTGCTCTTAAATGGTATCAAAATAGAGGTAATGCTTTTGTTGTTAGTTGCGAAGTAGTGTCCGACCCATCGTGATCCCACGGACAAAGTTCCTCCAGGCCTTCTACCATCCTCTGGAGTCCATTTAAGCTCACGCCTACTACTTCAGTGACTCCATCCAGCCACTTCATTCTGTCACCTCCTTCTTCTTTTGCCCTCAAACTTTCCCAGCATTAGGCTCTTCTCCAGTGCATCCTTCCTTCTCATTAGGTGGCCAAAGTATTTGAGTTTTATCTTCAGGATCTGGCCTTCTAAGGAGCAGTCAGGACTGATTGGTTTGATCGTCTTGCAGTCCAAGGGACTCACAGGAGTCTTCTCCAACACCATAGTTCAAAGGCCTCAATTCTTTGGTGCTCAGTCTTTCTTATGGTCCAATTTTCAAAGCCATACATTGCAATTGAGAAAACCATAGTCTTGACTATATGCACTTTTGTTGGCAGGGTGATGTCTCTGCTTTTTAATATGCTGTGTAGATTTGCCATAGCTTTTCTCCCCAGGAACAAGTGTCTTTTAATTTCTCGGCTGCAGTCCCCCTTTGCAGTGATCTTGGTAATGCTACTTCAAATATAGCCAACATTGACTTTAAGCCTGTCTCATTCATGGGCAGGGGTTGAGTTAAAAATAATGATATAGCAATAGAGCAGGGGGGAAATGTTGCTAAGGCATGTTTTTATCATGATTAGGTGCAAGCGAGGAAAGGCTCAAAGTATATTATATAAGTTAAATGAAGATAAATAAGAAGAAACTATGACATTTATATATTTCTAGGTATAATGCTGGGCAGAATGGGTACCAGTGGAGTTCCCTTGGTCAGTTTTTGCCAGTGTTTAAATGAATCAGTCATGAAGATAGTGGCTGTGACTGTGTGGTAAGTAAATGTCAGCAGAAATAAATATTGACAAGCAAAAGTATGTAATCAGCAATGAAATCAGCTTACTTAAACTGAATCGGTTGTTGAGTGATGTAAATAACATGTACAGGGTTGCGTGCATTCTCCTTTTAAAAAGATATTTGTAAACATTGTGCCTCACTGCATGAGATTGCAATGGGCTGGGGTTCTGCCTACACTAAGAGAAAAACTCTCTGCACCCAAGAAAGAAATAGAAATCAGGGTTCCTTAGCATAGTGTTTCAAAACTTCTTCTTCCTAACCAATCTACAAGTGATGAGTTCCTACCACAAGGACATACACCTTTAGCACTTCTGTCAAAAGGGAGATCCACCTATCTGGCTTTAGAGGCCAAATTGTGTTGCAAAAGTATCTTGCAGAAGAAGACCCATTTTGTCTTACAATAATATATATGGTACTTCAAGGATGCATTTATTTACTACATTTCTATTTTTTGTTCCATTTGAGAGACAGAGTAATATATAGGTATGTCTCTATATTTTATCCCCATAATAGCAACTCTGTAGGGAAGATTGGGTTAAAAGAATAGAGCTGGATAAAGTCATTCAGCAAGCACTTTGGTCTGATGGAGACTTGAGCCCAGATCTCTGTAATCTAGCTGCAATACTTTCGCCAAAATATTGCACACACACACCCATTTTTATATGGATGTATTCTTTGCATAGATCTCTTTATTCTTTCTTAGGTATTTTCCATTTGGAATAGTGTTTCTTATTGCTGGTAAGATTTTGGAAATGGATGATCCCACAGCCATTGGGAAGAAACTAGGATTTTATGCTGTTACCGTACTTTGTGGACTAGTTGTTCACGGACTTGTTATTCTGCCAATGATGTATTTCTTCATCACCAAGAAGAATCCCATTGTCTTTATCAGAGGCATTCTTCAAGCACTGCTTATAGCTCTGGCCACATCATCCAGGTACACACTGCAATGGTTAAAGTTGTAGAGCGAAGCTTTCTTAATTTTTAAGGGAATAAAAGATGTTTCTCTCAAGTCATGTTTCAATTCTGGTGATAATTCTGGTTACTCTCATGCAATTTTCTTAGCACTAATATGGCAGTAATTTGCCACTGTATTGTTATAATGTGTTGTTTCAATTCCTGGTCTAGTCAATAGTCCTACAATTTCCTGTTATCCTGGCCCAATACTACTCATTCATGATTAGCTAAGATCAGTTAGGTGCTGCCACTTGCTGGATAAAATTTTTAAACATCCATTAGCAGAGCAAACTTGGAATACTGTTTTATTTTCCAGATTTAATCCTTCCAGTTTCTGTCCCTTAGATCAGCAGTCCCCAACCTTTCCAGCTTGGCAGACTGGGAGGTGCATATGGATCTCTATGTGCATGAGCCACTCATACAAGTGGAGCTGCATATGCACTCATTTGCCCCTTGTGTGGCCTGGTTCCAAACAGGAAATGAAATATTTTCTTATATGCTCATTTATAATTATTCCCATTCCCTCTTATTTTATTTCATTCCCAGATTTTAAAACAAATAAAAAGCATGGGGAGTAAGCAAAAGATCTTAAATATGTTATTTTATACTAATACAAATATAATTTTCAGGGATTGGGACAAAGCAATAGAACAAAACAAAGAGACAGGATCAATGTTGAGAGGATAATTCTTTTCTGACAAAACCTTTGGAAAATATAATAAGACATTTCCAATATTCTGTGAGTCATAGCTTTTGTACTTTTTTTCCTTAAATAATATAATTAATTTTTTTCATAGCTTTATTATCATCACCTAAGATACTGAATGGATCAGGTCATTTATGCAATACTTTTTTACACAATAATGCATGGGCGCAAATAATTTTGCCTTAAATTTGTTTGCATAAGCAAATTTCTAAACTACATTATTCTGCTAACTTCAGTCTAAACTACCCTTATTTGTTGTTGTTGTTTTGCAGTTCAGCCACTTTGCCTATAACTTTCAAGTGCTTATTAGAGAATAATCATGTGGACCGGAGGGTTGCTAGGTTTGTGCTCCCAGTAGGGGCTACCATCAACATGGACGGAACAGCCTTATATGAAGCAGTAGCAGCTATTTTCATTGCCCAAGTAAACAACTATGAGCTGGATTTTGGACAGATCATCACCATAAGGTAAAATGGGAGGGGGGCAAAATCTCTGATTCATAGGCTGTTCTGACCTAGGCTTCCCCAAAAAGCATGAAGCAGATTTCTGGTTCCAACAAAAACCCCTTTATTAAACAAATTTGAATTCCTATCATTCACATTCAGCAAAGGCCTGGTAAACAGACTTTCAAAGGTGAAATTATGACCACAGACCGCAACTAGCTTGGAAAACTGCCATGTAAATATTTTCCAAACGCAGTGCTGTGCAAAGAAAGACTTGGCACAGAGTCTCTGAGATTCATGGACAGATCTTCACATTCCTGAAACGAACTAACGAACTAATGAATTGTTTCCTGCAAAAGCTCATTCCCCTTTTGCTCCTCTTTTATTTCCTATGGGAGGGGCCATTCACTGTCCACCTGTGGCTTTACTTCCAAGATGACCCTGATTTCTTAGCTGTTCTTTTCTTCCGGCAGCTCTGTGCATGTGCACACTGGGAACAGGCTCCAGCTATTCCTCTGCCTCACTGCTGTCTAGCTCCGAAGGCAGTTGAGAACTGCCAGATGGCCTTGGCCCCATCTCTGTCTCCAGCACAGAGCCCTTGTCCGAGCCTTCTCCAGCCTCCAGGACTGGCCAATGTTCCTCCCCAACTTCCGCACTGTCCCACTCGGCTGCTAGCTCCGCTGGCCACTGGAAGGCTACAACATAGGCTTCTGCAGGAAAAACAATGTTCTGGTCTTCAGTGTCCAGCATAGCAGATAATAATCTAAAGTCGTATAAAATGATTTTCAGAACTAATGGAATGTATAATCCATATTAACAGTGCAGATGGAAAATCTTAAGCATTTGATTAACTGCTAATTAAAAATGTTCCTGAAGAAAGGAAATGGCCAGACACCAAATGCATTGAGTACACTGTACGCACCATGAAGATTGCATGCTTTGTTGGTTGTTAGCCATTCTCTCCCTGACCATGTCAGTAATGACACAGTTTGGAAGCAAACTGTGCCACCATGCCAACATCAGAGAAAATGCAGGAGAAACGTGTACAGTGGTACAGCCATGTTCTACAAGCAGGTCCCCATATTGTTGCCTACATCCCCTTCCATTTTAATGTAAATGGCAAGCGCCTGTGTGGAAGGCTGAAAGAAAGTTGGCAGGACAATAAATGCAGACATGAAAAATGCCCAATTGGACACAGATGCTGTGTTTGATCATGTAAGGTGACATTTGTTGACCTGAAAAGCAGACCCTGCACCTGTGGGGAAAATGCTACAATGATGATGATATGATGATGGTGGTGGTGGTGGTGATGGTGATGAGAAGTTCCTGAAGAAATTATATCCCTTCCCTCCCATTGAACCTCACACACACAAAAAGAAATAAAGAAAATCTCTAACACTCTCTAACATTCACAAGGCATTTATCCAAAATACTTACTCGATATGTTGTCTGCACTCTGGGAAGCTAGACAGAGCTCTCTGGTTGCATTTGAAAATGGAATTAGAAGATTAGTGCATTTTTTTCTAGTTGTATGTAAAACAAATGAGGTTGGTTGCTAGGGGAGAGGATCTGTGAAGCACCTTTTCTTAACCTGTAAACAGAAAGCTACAACAGTCGAATATTACTTCATGCAAGAGTTCCTCCCAGTGGAAGATATTTTCTCTTGAATCTCTGCTGCATTTCCCTGTCACAAATGGGAAGGCTGCTTTTATTGATTATTTGCTTGCAACAGTGTTGGAACCCAAAACTGATTCTGGAGCTTTACAAGAACGGCATATAAATGATTCTTTACTTTTAAGTGACATTCCTTCCTCCAAATAAAGCATGCTTCTCCAGCTGAAGGAAAAGTTGTCAGCAAGACTGATAAGGAATTTCCTGGAAAGACATTTTTGGAAGAGTTGTTCTCCCAACAGATGTTAGAGAAATCAAAGTCTCCCAAGACTGCAATTTCACTGCTTTTTAAAGATCTGCCGTTTTCTTCTGGAAAAAATATCCACAGCTTCTCTTTGATTATTTAAATATAAGTGGATTAGTATCCAAAGATGGTAGTAGTTTATCAAGCTAAAATAATAAATAAGTTTATTATTTTAAAGTAAGTTTTAAAATAATAAATTATTTTACCAAAGCATTTTAAGAAAGCCACCTTACGTATCCTAACCCTTGGGTTTCTATAAGATGAGGATATTGTAACATATAATTCAATTCCTTTTCTTTTTGTGCTGCATCTGTTCCTTCTGAATAACTTTTATTTTTCAATTATTGTAGTCCAGTTCTGAAAATTATCCCACAAAATCTCAGTTAAAAATTTGAATCATATTTGTTTTCTTATATTGGGACCTCAAAGTCATCTGGTTTATTTTCCATTCTCTGAGAATTAATATACAAAGAAGGGAGGACATTAACTTTACAAATCAAACTTGTTCCTGAGTTTTTATTGTACAATTTAAGAGGCGCCAGAGGAATTAAAGAGGAAATTCTGTACATGTTACACAACATATTCTTCCTTTTCTTATTACTTAGCATTTACCAGCATTGAATCCTGGTATCATGACTGATTTTTGAGCCATTTTTGAGATTTTTGTATTCGGCTCTGTACATTTAAAAGCTTCAGAAGTTGAACTGAACAACTAAGGAATGCATAACTTAAACAATCCTTTTTCTTTTGTAAATATTCTTTTAGTTTTCTTTGTTTTTGTAAATACAAAAAAAATGAGGGGGAAAAGTAGATTCATCTGGAGAATATTTACTAGCAATACTGTACAGCTTAGCATAAAACATTAAGTGGTTGCGATCTGTACAAACTTGACAGATTTCCATAAAGCAGTATTATCAGATCAAAACAAAACAAAACTCTTTCGCAAAATGTCTATGTATATGACTGAATTGCTGCTAGATCAGACATAGTGTTATTTTATCCCAATTCAGCCTATTCAGCTTTGTATTAATCCGTGCTTATGTAGCTATGATTTCAATTCTGCCCCATGCTGGGATTTACTGCTGAGAGCAGGGAAATTCCTCCTATTAGATCAAGTGCGATGATTGCCTTGTTCTTTACTAAACAGCATATTAAAGAAAACTTGAATTACTTACAAGGCGCAGATCAAATAGCTGCATACTGTACAATCTAGCAGCTTTGGTAAGTCACAATATATACCATGGCTGATGGCTATATCACCTTGGTCACACAGAAGTTGACAAGAATTTAGTGAAAGATCAAGACTCAATTCCATCTCTGCAACAGCCTTTAAAACAATAATTTCATTCATTCCAATAATTGAATTATTTCATACACAATATCATTAAAACCTGTTGGATCTCAAAGATTTAAGAGAATTGTAATCATACCGCAGCCAGCAATCCAATCCAATGTTAAGTAAATAAAGCCCATTTATTTTAGTGGGTTTAGGAGTGCTTAATTCTGCTGGATTATGGCTCATGAATATGGTTGTTTCTCCTGCCATCTGCAGAGACCTATTTTTTGAATTGATTGCCACCTCTAGAAGACAAGCACCACTTGGGGCAATTACAACCTGATGATTTGACCATTTCCATAAATTTTCAGCAAACTGACAAGAAGTTGAATTTAGGCAGTCGAAGTACTGTTTGGGTTCACTTAGAATGGATAAATTGCAGATCTTGGGACGGGAAATATATGTGGATGTATATGTCTTCATAACACCACCCCCTTATCATCATGATCTATATTTGAAGAGCAAGAGATAAAATTATGGTTACTATAAAATTGTAGTCCATTGGTTCTATTTGAATGGTTTCCCTCTGTGATGCTGCATTTGGGGAAAGTTCCTGCTGATGTTAGAGAAAAATTATTTCAAATGTCAAGTAATAGTTTGAGAAAGAGAGATGGTGGCAGAATAGAAAGAGAAAACTTATCTTCTGTTTCATGATCCCTCAGGCTGTTCTACAAAACATGCATGTAAACTACTGTGATAAAATTAAGGCCACATTTACTTAACCTAACCTCACAGCTGGTGGCAGATGCCTTTAAATTTCTGCCTGTGAAATGTCAGTCTTGTTGCTTTTCCTTGATTTTATTTCTCATGATCCAAACAAAGAAATTATATCCCGGACCCAACTCTACTAGTAAAACTCTGGCATCATGCAAAGTTGACCTTACTTATATTGGGCAGTCCTGTGTTTTATTTACCTTGTTCAGGGGAATTCTGTGCAACTGAATGCAGAGTAAAATGTATTTGATTCTTATGCCAAGTACATTAGTTCTTATTAATGATCAAGTTATCCAGTTTTGGATGTACTTCTGTGTTACATCATTATGATCTTTCTGCTTGTTTATAAAAGCATTACGGCAACAGCTGCCAGCATAGGAGCTGCTGGAATCCCACAGGCTGGCCTTGTGACCATGGTCATCGTTTTGACATCAGTCGGGTTGCCTACAGATGACATCACTCTAATAATTGCTGTTGATTGGGCTCTGTAAGTAGTGCAAACATTTTCTTTTCTTTGCATTTTTCTAATTGGATATATGAGGATTGAGTGGTTCAGTTTTTAGGGAGTTATCACTCACTTTGTTGTCGATGTTGAGTACATGGTCATGTCAAGGGGGTAGCAAAGCTCACTCATGGTTTTACTTTCTGTTTGTCACAGTTTTTCATCTGCTGTTACATTACAAAACAAAAATATAAGAATTATCCTTCCAGATTCAAACCAAAAGATATCTTTTCAGTGTATAGGTAGTTCTTGACTTGCAATTTGGTTGCTTAGGGACCATTCAAAATTCCAAAGACCTCCCCACAAAATATTTACAACCCAGAACTGAAATTCTGAAGGACAGTCTCCCCACCCATCATCATGTGACTGCGTTATAGATACTTGGCAACACATTTGCAGCCATTTGTAGCATCATGTGGTCACATGACCATGATTTATTATGGTTTGGCTGAAAACTAGCATTTATTTCAAATTTTCAGCCCCAAAAAACCCCACCATAGATTATAACCATGGACAGCACAAAAACAGAAGCATCCTTTATAGGGGAAGCAAACTTGAGAGAGATTGCAGAGCAGATTTTAACAAAGCATTCATGGGAACGAAGGGCACAAAATGTGAACATAAACAGATCCATATCTTCATTTGTACCTACGTAAGTGGCAAATAAAAAATCTTTCCGTTTCAACTCAGTTTTATACTAAAGAAGTCAAACTCTGAACATTGCTGATTTTGGATCACGTTACTCTTTTCTAAGCCAAACACCTGGATGTTCCTGAATTTTAGTTTTATGACCCACATCAATATAATAACCATTGTGATTGACGTCTCAGATGGGCTCATTGTACTGAAAAAAGAATGAAGAAATCATATGATGCATTTCAGATTTAATGTACCTCTGCCAAATGAACTTGAGTCAGCTTCAAACAATGCATTAAAAGTAACTCCGGCCTTTTCCTCTAGTTTAAATTCCTTAAGTCAATGTAAAGTTTTACTTAGAAAAAAAAAATTCCTCAGCATTGATCTGTGATAATCACAAGTCATAATATAATTACCGGTAATTTTTTGTCACAGTTTTAAAATCAACTGTGGATTTATTTTTTTAAAGTTACCAAAAGCTGACAGCTAACAGCAAATGCAGACACTAGAGAGAGATTAATCTAAAATGCAGCATCAGACATTCTGTTCTCTATTTGTCTTCTGAGAATTTATTCCTCAGTTTCCTACATTCTTCTATATATCCCTCAGCTATAAATGTCCAAATCTGATTGTTTTTCCAGTTGAAATCCAAATGTTTTCTAGTTTCCATTTGGACTGGCTTTACATCTTGCTTGTGTCTTTGGCTTATTTTCTTCCCTTTTTTAAATAAAAAATCCTATGTGGTCTAGTCTACCTTCTTGTTCTTCTGTTTTCTTCTAAAAGCATTTTCCAGTTTTATTTAACATTTGGCTTTTAAGATTGTTTGCTTTGTTTATAATTTCCTTCCTTCCTTCCCTCCCCCCCTCTCTTTCTTTCTTTCCCTTTAAAGTTGTTGCACCAGACTCTCGACTTTATAATTAATTCCAGATCTATTCTCTTGGAGATTCCTGGTGCCAAATATGTCACAATTCTGGAGACCATAAGTACAATGCTGGTTAGATTTGAAGATTTGGTTTGGAAAATGCAGTTATTTATTTATCACAAAAAAAAATTTTGCTCAATTATTTCTTTTTTTGAATCGTACCTAGGAAAGCAAACAGAGGGCAATATAAAATCTGTGAAAGTTTTTTCCTTCTCCAGTTATTGTTCTGCTTAATTTTATAAAAATGGAAAAATCAAATACCAGAGTCAACATAAAAAATAGGCGTTTATGAAACAAATTAGGAAAATGTTCATGGAGTGTTTTTTATTTCTTGTTGGCATTATGCTTTCATACCATAAAATTAATCCATGAGATTTCAGTATTGGAACAATTTGATCTGCCATAGTGTGATAGCCTACATGTTTAAATTAATTGGGTACTTTTATTCCTAGCCCTGTGCTATATTATCTGTTGAGTAAAATAACATCAGCTTGTGTGCAGGTACTGTTACTTTCTGTATAAATAACTATGTAGATTGATGAACATTTACACAAGGAAAGAAAAATGTCATTTTAATGCCTTCATTTTGTTTGACAGAGACAGATTTCGGACAATGATCAATGTTTTGGGTGATGCTCTTGCTGCTGGAATAATGGCGCATATTTGCAGAAAAGAATTCACTGCAGAAAGATCTGAGGTAGGAGAAAACTGATGTGATACTTTGAGGACTCACTTTACCAAACAGAGATAATTAGGTATCTCTTTTAGAGGCATTCTGTGTAACGGTGTGTCCTACCTATAATTTTGTTGGAGTATTGTGGTTCACATGGTTAGGGTGCTGGGTTGGAGGTTACCAGGCCTGCGTTCGAGATCCGAGTGCTGCCGTAGGGTAGAGTGAGCTCCTGTCCTCTGCTGCAGCTCCTGGCAGGGACATGAAAGGAGTCCTAACTGAGCCTTCCGCCAAGCAACGGTGATGTGACCGGCTAATTCTTTCAACCCAGAAGTGCCTTGGTGCTTCCAATATGAGTGTGAGGCAATCTATAATTTTGTATGCTAAAATGGAGTATAAGTATAGAAAAGTATTTTAGAATAATGAAGCATTGTAATAGTATGACCCCCTTGTTCAATTCATAGGTGCCTTTGATTGGAGAAACAAAACCTGTTAGTATCCGCAAAATTATTGCTTATCAGAAGAATGGCTGTGTGAAGTCCGTGAATAAAATGTGTGGACCTGAACCAATCAAAACAACACTGCATCACTTACCTATCCAAATGGAACAAGAAGAGAATCACACAGAATGTTACACAGAGAAATCCAACAATAAAGACCACTGTACTATTGAAATCAATGAATTGGAAACAAATGTGTAATGTACAGTTAATCCTAAAAGTCTCTGAAAACAAAAGAATATCCTGTAAATGAGGTTGGGACATGGCCTGCTCCTTCAATGGCAAGGCATGAAATGACTGTTATTCCTGAACTGAGGTTATAAAATAGCTGTGGACACCTGTGAAGACAGAAGGCTTCATGGAAGATGGGTTCCATTGGTTGGTTGGGTTAGTAGAAAGGAATTAATCACTGGACAAATGTTGTTTACAGATATGGTGATGTTTTTAAGAAGAAACCTTCTGATCCATTGAACTGATTTCTACTAAATCACCCTGTCTCCATTTTTCTAATCAAAATGAATATTCCAGAAATTCATTAATGTTCTATTCTTAGTTTTAAATGTATTACTAACTAACGGATTAAAACTAAATTGTGGATGGGATCAAGTCCTGGTTACTGAGCCTGAGTTATGTGAAATAAAGTATTGTTATTAATCTGCTGATTTGGATACATTGTGATCATAAGCAGTGGTTAGTTTCAAATGGAAATTAGTCTGGTTTCCTACAGTTGCATAGATGAAGGTGGAGTGAACAGTGCATGAATTCAGTGGCCTTGAGAGGTCATTAAACTAGTGTTACGTGCAACCTGGGTTGAAATTGTTTAACAAGTCATTCTTGTTTGCAGCTTCATTCTGCATTCTTCAATGTTCTGAGTGAATATTGTAGTAGCTTTCTGGTTGTAATCCAAAATAATGTTTTTAATTTATAACATCCTATATGGCTTGACACTTAAGTATCTTTGAGACTGCCTCCTTCAACCAGGTGAGACCTTTATGTTCCAGGAGAAACTGTTAATACTGTTAATCCCCAACACCACTTTGGGAGGGGAGGGGAATTAAGACCCAGGGTGTTGTTTCTCTATGATGGTCCCTGTTATATAGAATGGCTGTCCTGAAAACAAGATTGGCGCCATCAATAAAAGCCTTTTAGAAGCTAGTTAAAATCTAGAAGCTTGTTAAAATTGGGGGATTTGGGATGAATTGTGATAGAACTGGAGCTCTTACATAATTCTAATTTTAATGTAACTTAAGTTTAATTTTAAGTTACTATGGAAGTTTTAGTGTTGCATTTTACAATTTTTATGAATCCTCCAAGAGTTTCTTGAAGTGGCACTATATAAATTTAAGGAATGAATGAATAGACCAATGTGATTTTTATATCCACCACCACATGCATTTCAAATAGTCAATTTCTAATAGTAGTTTCGATGGACTTTTGACTATGATGGTAGCAACATCAATGATCATGTATAGAAATCCCATTGTATATTAAAGATTCTCAGAGCCCTTTCATTTTTATTTTGCATTATTTGGAGAGATAAATTGCAACTAATACTGTTTGTTACATATTATTTTCTAAGGTTTACAATGTATATATTATAATAGTATATTTTTGAACTGAGAAGAATTATGTTTTGTTTAATGAGGTGATAGAGAAGGGGAGTTTTATTTTTAAGATCCTTAAAAATAAAGTATCAAGCCCCATTCTAAACTTTCCCTATCATATTAGCCTCCTAAGTAGTTCCTTATATTTTGCATCTCTTTTGGTTCCACTTCTAACTTGGTAAAATCCACAGTGACTAAATTTGTGTTTTTCAACTGTTGCAACTTTAAGATGTACAGGTACGGGATGCTGGCTGGAGAATTCTAGGATTTGAAGTCCACACATCTTAAAATTGACACGGTTGGGGGGGAAAACTGGTCTAATTATAAAAATCCCTAACCAAAATAACTGGTGCTAAAAAGGCTATACAATGTTCTGTAATTTATATAGCTTCTATGTGTGATAGTTTGGCCCCTTGTGGTCTGAGTAAATATAACTTATAATTTAGCATATGCAATTGTGGCACAATTTCATTGTAATGATATATTCAGATGAATAATGTTTCTATGATTGCTGTCTATAAATGCAAATTGTTGAACTTGCTCCCACCCCCCTACACACACAAATATGCTATGTAAGGTATCTTGGATGACTTTCTTCAGAGCCAGTTCAAAGCTTCAACTCTATCATCTTGTACTTTTAATTTGGAAATGGCTTCCATTTGGAGCAGTTTAAAGCAAGTCTGAGACAAGAAGCAAAGTTCTGACTTTTGAATTGCTGCACCACTCTTACAGCCCATTAGATGGAAGGAGATAGAGGGAATTAGTGCTTTTATAGCTTTAATACTTGGGCTAAAAGTTTGAATTTTTCACAAAAAAGACTAACGTTGAAGAGTCAGTTACAAAGCTCATTTCCTGAAAGTGAACCAAATATTGTCATTCATGACCCAAAAATATTGGGATAACAAAATAGAGGAACATGGTGTTTATCACCAGTGATGTTTGCTAGGGAAAATAAAATAGCATGCAATCAGTTTAGATTTTGGCAGCCGTGGCTTATTCCCCTATAGGACGAGGTATATCTGCCAATTTTTTAACTTGTTTCATTCATATATATATATATATATTTGTGTGTGTGTATATGTGTATATGTGTATATGTGTATATATGTATATATGTATATATGTATATATGTATATATGTATGTATGTATGTATGTAT